GGAAAAAGTCTGGGAAAGGGGGACAAGATGACTTCATGACCTCAAATTTCAGTGGGAATATTCTTTGGGAGCTCACAGACACCTGGCTCCTCAAGGGGCCGCTCTGGTAGGGGAAGGGGCGCAGTGCCATGGGCCTCTGTCTCTTGACACTTGCCCCAGTTTTCACTGGATTTCCCCAAGAGTGGAGTGGCTCTTACTCTCCCTCACTAGAGAGCAGCTCTTCCACCCTCCTAAGGACTCCTCCACTCCCGCCATGCTTGCTCCTCTTACCTTTTGGAAACCGTCTTTCTCCTTTCTTTGGTCTCCCGGGCCAGATATTCAAATTGGATCCTTCCGTGAGAATACACCCTCTATCCCCACTATCTGTTTATCTTTCTCCTCACCTTAGCCTCCCCCAAGTGTTGTCCTTGGCTCTCTTTTCCAACGCCATTGTTTCTTTTTTATGTCCTCACTTTCCCGTGGGTGACAGGTTATGGAGTTGTGGGTTGAATTGTGTCTGCCAAACACATGTTGAAGTCCTAGCCCCGAGTACCTATGCATGTAACTTTATTCAAAAATAGGGTCTTGGCCAGTTGAGGTGGCTCACCCCTGTAATCCCAGCACTTTGGGAGACTGAGGAAGGCAGATCGCTTGAGCTCAAGTGTTTGAGACCAGTCTGACCAACATGGCAAAACCCTACAAAAAACACAAAAATTCACCAGGCATGGTGGTGTGTGCCTGTAGTCCCAGCTACTTGGGAGGCTGATGTGGGAAGATCTCTTGAGCCAGAAAGGTGGAGGTTGCAGTAAGCCGAGGTTGTGCCACTGCACTCCAGCCTGGGTGATAGAACCAGACCTTGTCTCAAAAAAAGAAAAAGAAAATTGAGTCTTACCATCAAGTTTAAATCAGGCCTTCTTATAAGGGTGGGCCCTTATAAGAAGAGGGAAATTTTGACACAGACACAGGGGAGATGGGACGGCCATGTGAAAATGGAGTCAGAGATTGGAGTAATGCATCTGCAAGCCACAGAATGGCGTGGATCACCAGCAAATACCAGGAGCTGGAAGAGGCAATGAAGCGTTCTTAGACCCTTTGGAGAGAGCATGGCTCTGCTGACACCTTGACTTCAGGCTTCTTGCTTCCAGAACTGTAAGAGAATGTGTCTGTTGTTTCAAGCCACACAGTATATGGTGATGTGTTATGGAAGCCCTAGGAAATTAATATAGGGGATAAGTGTGTGTGTGTCTGTACACACGTGCGTGTGTGTGTGACTGTGTAAGGAACTATCGTGGAAAGGTTATTATTTGTTATAACCATTCTATCATGTATTTTATGGGATTTTATCTTTTCAAGACAACTTTGCATGTGCTTTGGGTTAAAAGACCTGAGTTCGAACAGTCATGCCATATTTGGCATGTGGGAATGTAATGACACCCAATTCAAGCAGTTGCGAGAAGCAAATGGAATGATGTACTGTATCTGAATCCATTTAGTGAACTGTTCAGCTCTGTAAACCTGTTGTTAGTACTGTCATAGCTGTGTGAAGGGGCAGTAAACACTTTGGACGGGGGAATGGAAATCTAGGCTCTTGGCAAGGGTTCCGTATTCACTTGACTTCATGATACTCTTTAAGTAAATGTGCTTCTGAGAGGCTCCTAAAGAGGGCCCACCTATCCCTCACAGCTGAGTAGAGTGTGGTCATAGTTCAAGGTTAAATTAAGGTCCAGGTTGGAAGACCTTCCCAAATTTAAACCTTGCCACAAAGTATTCTTTCATTTACTTTGAATCCTTCCTTCATTTAAATCCCTTTAGGAACCAGGCTCTGTACTGCTCAAGGAGGGTGGGAGAGTGACACGAAAATGAGTAAAGACACTGCTTCTGTTCTCAGGACTTCACAGTCGACTTGCAGTAAGTGCTGCAGGGAGATGGCTGTAGTGGCTTTGGGGGTGTGCACACTTCCAACAAGAAGAGTCAGGACCCCTGCCAGGGAAGGCTTCCTGGAGGAGGTGAGGTGGAGCCTGCCAGGGAAGGCTTCCTGGAGGAGGCCAGGTGGAGCTGGTCCACGAAAACTGAGTGGGATTTCCAAGACATCAGTCTTTTGCGGGAAAAGAGAAATTAACACATGGTTTTAATTTAGTAAATATTTATTTAAAAACTACCCCATTCCAGGGTTTGTGCTAAGTGTCAGGGGTTGGTAGAGCCAGGAAGTATAAAATCAACTTAAAACAGTGGAGAAAGATCTCCCTTTCTAGTAAGGAAGTTAAATCTGTACACAATGAAAGGAAACAAGATAAAAGGCGCGAAGTCCATGACCTTGACGAGGGCTGTGAGAACTGTAAATAGAGAACTTGGGCAGTCCCGGGTGATCTGAATAAACGTCCGGAGGGGCGTTGCTTGCGGGTCTCGGCCTGCTTGTCCCCAGCCCTCTGTCTTACCCTCCTTAGGGAGGTGAAGGCTGTTTATGTAATCGGCGGCGCCTCGCGGGCGACCGGGGGAACTGGATGGGGGAGCCGGGCCAGGGCTGACTGCGCGCCCCTGGAATCCGCGCTCCGGGCGTTGGCTCGCTCCCGCCCTTACACCAGAGCCCGCCCTCCAGCTGCGCAGCCACGCGCCGGGCAGCCGGGTGGTCGAGCGGGCTACTCCCCACGCCTCCTGCAAAACTGCCTTCTACCTACCCCACCGAGGCGGCTGGAAAATCCTACAGACACCTGATCCCATCCGCCTACCCAGTCCCCAGCAGGACTGAAGGAAGAGGAAGAGGAAGGGACCCATAATCATCTCAAACTCTGGCCCAGATCGTGCGTTTTACTCTCCGTAGGTCATTTCGTCTGTGTTTCCAACATCCTCGCCCTTTTACTTTTTGGGGATCTCTTAGGAAACAGGAGCAGTCCTCCTCTGGGTTTAACTTCAGTCCTTCACACGACAACACTAGGAATGATCAAGACTTTCGTTTTGGGTAGTGGTGATGCGGGTTTGAGAGGAGGAAGCATCTGGTCCTGGGATAAATTTTGGTTTCTGAGTACTACGAAGAACTAGAAAAGTTCTGAGTATGTCGGTTTTCAGGATGAGGTTCGGATGGGTCAAAGCCCTGTGCAGGCCATGGGAGCTGCAGGAGATAAGGTGGAGGAAGAGAGAGGGAACAAGCAGGGTCAGAGGTCCAGGCCCCCGTGTCTGTCTTAACCAGGATGCAGCTAGATGCTTGCACTTGGCAGCTTTTTCAACCACCTGTTGATAGACGTTTGTTTCCGGTTTTATCCTGTTACCAACTGTGCTGCAATGAACAGCTTTGTGTATAACTTTTTAGTGTATTTGATCCTTCCTTTTCAATCCAGGCATATTGCAGGGAGGAAGAGACTTGTGAGACAGAAGGAATATTTAAAGCAGACATCAGGACTGGATCAGGAGGAAGCCCGAAGGGTGCAACCTTCCCATAGGACTGCTGGTAGCCTAGCTTCAACCCTTCCAGCTGCAGCACATCCCAAAATGAGGTGGTGGGGGCGAGACGCGAGTGAGGAGTAGATGCAAAGGAAGGCAAAGAAAAACTCTAGGGACCCAGGGTGATCTGGGTGCCAGAAAACAGAAGCTGGAAAAAGGGGAAGATCTGCCCCGGGAAGGAGGCATGGAAAGTGTAGATGTGGGTGCTCGAGGGGGCGTCGCAGAGGACTACCTCTCCACCGTAATCCACTCCGAGGCCCAGTTTGTTTAGGCAGAACTGGAGATCCTTCAGTGAGCGCCTGGCACTGGGAGCAGGTGATGTGCAGCAAAGGCTCCACCTCCGGAAAGCCCCGCCTGGGAACCAGCTCCGAGGCCACGCGCAGCATGTAGGCCCCGCCCCGGAACCTTGGAGCTCCGCCTCCCAGGCGCAGCTGCCTGAGGAAAGCCCCCTGGCGAGCCCAGCACCCAGAGGTGCTGGGTCTAGCCCCGCAGGGTCTAGCGGGTGTTCTTCTGTGTAGGGAGACGATAGATTGTAGACAAGAAAGACACAAGACACAGAGATAAGAGCAGAATTCAGCTGGGCCCTGGGGACCACTGCTACCACGGGGCGGAGTCCAGCAGTGGCCCCAATGCCTGGACGCACTGATATTTATTGTATACAAGGCAGGGGGGCAGGGCGGGAGAATAACTCATCTGACATGATTGGTAGGGGTCAAGCAAATCACATTCTTACAATATGGGGGGGTCACGTAAGTATAGTACAGAGGGTCAGGTGGGTACAGTACAGAGGGCCCCTCCCTCTCAGGTAGCTGCTGCAAGGAGGGGAGGCACATACGTCAGAATCTTTCTATGCACTTGTCAGAGAGATCAAAGGCCTTTTAGGATTCTTCTATTCTTACTTCTCACAGCTTCTAAGAATTTACAAGGGATCATCGGTGGGAAAGTGGAACATGAAAGTGGACAAGGATGGTGACCATCAGTGGAGAGGTGTTTAAACCCCTGGATGTCTGTGGGCCGGCCCAGCTAGGGTCAGACCTTCGTCAAGAGCCGGCAGAGCAGAGTTTTCTCTGAACTCCCCAGTGAAAGGGAAACTCCCCCTCACAGCCTGCTAAGTAACTCGTGCCTTCCCAGACGCTGGGGTTACCTACCGCAAGGCCTGCCTGCTAAGTAACGGGCGCCTTCCCAAGCGCTGGTGCTACCGCAAGGCATTTACTCTCACCTCCTGATCGCGTCTCACAATGTCCCTTCAGTTCCTAATTATATGTCACCCGATTATGTCTATAAGACTAAAATGTTCCTGCACTAAAGCAAAGATTAATAGAGAATAATGATGTAATAAGATTGATTATATAATTGATTATGTGATTGAATCTAATATCTATCTGGTGTCTTTACTATAACTAGGTAATCAGCAAATATATCATTGCTATAAGTAATCAGTAAAAATATTCGGTATCATTGCTATAACTAAGAAATCAGTTATTTATTATGTTGGGATAGATTGTGCCTTGTCTCTTGCTGTGGCACCTGGGCAACTTTCTTTCCACAGAGTTGAACTGGCACAAGAGTCTGCGGTAGCCCGGCTTCTACAAACCACCCTGGGATTCCAGGTCCAGTGTCACTGTCTTTAAATCCTGGGAAAGGATGAAGCCTGAGTGGGCTGAGGCTACATCCGGTGTTACAGGGGCTGTGAGAAGATGAGGAGAAAGAAGTGGTCAACCGCTCTTGACAACCCGGATCCAGTTGTCCAAACCCCTACCTCCCACTGACACCCCTGTCCCACTCCCAGCTCCGCTCCATGCAGCCAGAGAGGCTTTCTCTTCCCAGTCACAGCCTTTGTGGTCTCCAGAAAAGCCTTAGGCCCAACCCTGCCTCCTCCTTCTCAAAGTTAATCCCTAAATTTCACAACGTGTTGTTCTGTGGATGCAGAGAGAAGTTCCCCATTGGTGGTAGAGATCATTTCAACGCCCAAAGATGAGACCATCTCTTCCTTGCCCATTTCCCCTGGTCCCTAATTCCCAATATCTAAGAATTGCATCTAGTATAAGTGGTGTTGAGGCTCAGACTTTCTGAGCTCCAGTAATTTTCTAAAATGGAGTTCCTCAAACACAGGGATGAGTGACGTGTTGGAATGCAAAAGGAGGAACAGTCACCACACACACACACACACACACACACACACACACTTCTAGGATCCCACGTTCAATCACAGTTTATTAAAGCTAGAAGTGTCTCCATCCACCCCTTACAGAGGCTTGCATGGTGGTTCCAGTTTCTGCTAAATATTTCAGAACGGGGGACCTCATTCTATCTACTGATTTATCCAATCTCATTAATTAATTTCCCTTGCTGATGTGAGGGGTTGAGAGAGCTGGAGAATGTGGGAATGTAAGGAAGAGTGAGAGTGGTCGTGCTCATGGGTTTGACGGACTGTGACCCAGGTCGCAGATGCTCGTCTCTGGACTTCACGCCTGGCTGAACTGGTGCCCTCCATAAACAGCTGATTAGAGTGCGCGGGCCGCTGCAGGGGCTCCTTTTCTCCACTAGGCGGCACCACAGCCAAAGCGATAAGAACACAAGCGTGGGGCGGGATGGCTGAAAGTTGTGTTCCTCCTTTTGCTCAAGAACTCGATTCCTTCTCCAGCTCTCTTCACCACCATCACCCCCCATCCCCAGTAGCCCGAGCGCTGCCCCTTCTCCGCTCCTTCCACCCAATTCCACTCAGTCAGGAACCCACTCAGTGCCATTCTATGCTCCTAAGTCTGAACAGCACCACGGCTCCCGGTGCTCTCTGAGCTGGCTTGCCTTGAAGGAACTTCACAAAACAGGCCAGGATCGCTGTCAGCCACTCCGTGCCACAGGGAGCTCCTTGGACAGCCTCAGTGTCAAATCTCTTCGTGTTCTGACAGCTGGCTCTGCAATCAGATACCTCAGCATAAGAGGCCCCCGGGTGGCTTGCAAGGTGGTGGAGGAGGAACAGCTCCAGGCTGCAGGTCCCAGCGAGATCAATGCTGAAGGCAGGTAATTTCTGCATTTCCAACTAAGTTACACAGCTCATCTCACTGGGACTCGTTAGACAGTGGATGCAGCCCATGATAGGTGAGCCAAAGCAGGGTGGGGTGTTGCCTCACCCCAGAAGTGCAAGGGGTCAGGGAACTCCCTCCCCTAGCCAAAGGGAGCCATAAGGGACTGTGTCATGAGGAATGGTGCACACAGGCCCAGACACTATGCACTTCCCACAGTCTTCACAACCTGCAGACCAGGAGATTCCCTTGGGTGCCTACACCACTAGGGCCCTGGGTTTCAAGCACAAAACTGGGCAACCGTTTGGGCAGACACCAAGCTAGCTACAGGAGTTTTTTTCATATCCCAGTGGTGCCTGGAACGCCAGCGAGACAGAACCATTCACTCCCCTGGAAAGGAGGCTGAAGCCAGGGAGCCAAATGGTCTAGTACAGTAGATCCCTGGGACAGAGCACCTGGGGGAAGGGATGGCCATGGGCACAGTTTCAGCAGACTTAAATGCTCCTGCCTGCCCACTCTGAGGAGAGCAGCAGATCTCCCAGCACAGGAGACAGACTGCCTCCTTAAGTGGGTCCCTAACCCCCCTGCCTCCTGACTGGGAGACATCTCCCACAGGGGTCAACAAACACCTCATACAGAAGAGCTCCAGCTGGCATCTGGCGGATGCCCCTCTGGGACAAAGCTTCCAGAGGAAAGAACGGGCAGCAATCTCTGCTGTTCTGCAGCCACCACTAGTGATATCAAGGCTAACAGACCCTGGAATGGACCCCCAGCAAACTTCAGCCGACCTGCAGCAGAGAGGCAAGACTGTTGGAAGAAAAACTAACAAACAGAGAGGAATAGCATCAACATCAACAAAAAGATGTCCACACAGAAACCCCATCTGAAGGTCACCAAAATCAAAGACCAAAGGTAGATAAATCCATGAAGATGAGGAAAAGCCAGTGCAAAAAGCTTGAAAATTCCCAAAACCAGAACGCCTCTTCTCCTCCACAGGATTGCGACCCTCGCCAGCAAGGAAACAAAACTGGATGGAGAATGAGTCTAACAAATTGACAAAAGTAGGCTTGAGAAGGTGGGTAATAACAAACTCCTCCAAGCTAAAGAAGCATGTTCTAATCCAATGCAAGGAAGCAAAGAACCTTGAAAAAAGGTCAGAGGAATTGCTGACTAGAATAATTAGTTTAGAGAAGAACATAAATGACCTGATGGAGCTGAAAAACACATCATGAGAACTTCGTGAAGCATACACAAATATCAATAGCCGAATCAATCAAGTGGAAGAAAGGATATCAGAGATTGAAGATCAATTTAATCAAATAAAGCATGAAGACAAGATTAGAAAAAAAAGAATAAAAAGAAATAAACAAAGCCTCCAAGAAATATGAGACTATGTGAAAAGACCAAACCTACGTCTGATTGGTGTACCTGAAAGTAACGGGGAGAATGGAACTCAGTCAGAAAACACTCTTCAGGATATTATGCAGGAAAATTTCCCCAAACTAGCAAGATGGGCCAACATTCAAATTCAGGAAATACAGAGAACACCACAAATATATTCCTTGAGAAGAGCAACCCCAAGACACATAATTGTCAGATTCACCAAGGTTGAAATGAAGGAAAAAATGTTAAGGGCAGCCAGAGAGAAAGGTCAGGTTACCCACAAAGGGAAGCCCATCAGACTAACAGTGAATCTCTCTGCAGAAACCCTACAAGCCAGAATACAGTGGGGACCAATATTCAACATGCTTAAAGAAAAGAATTTTCAACCCAGAATTTTATATCCAGCCAAACTAAGCTTCATAAGTGAAGGAGAAATAAAATCCTTTACAGGCAAGCAAATGCTAAGAGATTTTGTCACCACCAGGCCTGACTTATAAGAGCTCCTAAAGGAAATACTAAGCATGGAAATGAAAAACCAGCCAGACACTGCAAAAACATACCAAATTGTAAACACCATCAACACTATGAAGAAACTGCATCAACTAATGGGCAATGTAACAGCTAGCATCATAATGACAGGATCAAATTCACACATAACAATATAAACCTTAAATATAAATGGGCTAAATGCCCCAATTAAAAGACAGAGACTGACAAATTGGATAGAGTCATAGGTGTGCTCTATTCAGGAGACCCATCTCACATGCAAAGACATACATAGGCTCAAAATAAAGAGACGGAGGAATATTTACCAAGCAAATGGAAAGAAAAAAAAAAGCAGGGGCTGCAATACTAGTCTCTGATAAAACAAACTTTAAACCAACAAAGATCAAAAAACACAAACGGCATTACATAATGGTAAAGGGATCAATGCAACGAGAAGAGCTAACTATCCTAAATATATATGCACCCAATACAGGAACACCCAGATTCATGAAGCAAGTTCTTAGAGACCTATGAAGAGACTTAGATGCCCACACAATAATAGTGGGAGATTTTAACACCCCACTGTCAATATCAGACAGATCAACAATACAGAAAATTTACAACGATATTCAGGACTCGAACTCTGCTATGGACCAAGCAGAACCAACAGACATCTGCAGAATGCTCCACCACAAATCAACAGAATATACATTCTTCTCAGCACCACATGATACTTATTCTAAAATTTACCACATAATTGGAAGTAAAACACTCCTCAGCAAATGCAAAAGAACAGAAATCATAACAAACAGTCTCTCAGATCACAATGAAATCAAATTAGAACTCAGGATTAAGAAACTCACTCAAAACTGCTTAACTACATGGAAACTGAACAACCTGCTCCTGAATGACTACTGGGTAAATAATGAAATAAGGCAGAAATAAATACGTTCTTTGAACCAATGAGAACAAAGACACAAGGTACTGGAATCTCTGGGACACAGCTAAATCAGTGTGTAGCAAGAAATTTATAGCAATAAATGCCCACAAAAGAAAGCAAGAAAAATCTAAAATTAACACCCTAACATCACAATTAAAAGAACTAGAGAAGCAAGAGCAAACAAATTCAAAAGCTAGCAGAAGACAAGAAATAACTAAGATCAGGGCAGAACTGAAGGAGATAGAGGCACAAAAAAACCCTTCAAAAAAAAATCAATGAATCCAGGAGCTGTTTTTTTGAAAAGATCAAAAAAATAGATAGACCACTAGCCAGACTAATAAAAAAGAAAAGAGAGAAGAATCGAATAGACACAATAAAAAATGATAAAGGAAACATCGGAGATGTCTCCTTCCTCGGAGAAGCTAGGAGAAAACTCTGCTCCCCCAAGCTCTTGCAGTGGGCTGGACGGCTGTCAGGTAGGCCCACAGACGTCCAGGGGCTTAATTGTCTCTATGTGATGCTGTGCTTCAGTGGTCACGTTCCATGTCCATTTTCATGTTCCACTTCTGCACCTGGTCCTTCTTTTTCTTAGATAGAATCAGTAAAAGTAACATAAATCTTAATGTCTTTTTTCTTTCTTGACAAATATGGGAAAGTGCTGACACATTGTACTCCTTCTCTCCTCTTGACTACTTGAAAGTCCTGAGCCTCTACCTATATGACACATGATGTACTTGACCCTATCACTGAACACTAACGCCTTGCCCTACCTACCCTGCCCTCTGCTTTGTACTAAATAAAAATCAGAGTGTGTAGGCACTCGGGGCCACTGCCAGACTCCATGCTTTGGTTGGCAGTGGACCCCTGGGCCCAAGCTCTCTTTCTCTTGATCTCAGTGTCTTGTGTCTTTATTCCCACACCAGTAGAGAGGGGCTTACAGGACTCTGTAGGGTTGGACCCTACAATTCTGGCCAGGGCAATCAGGCAAGAGAAGGAAATAAAGGGTATTTAAATAAACAGAGAGGAAGTCAAATTGTCTCTGTTTGCAGATGGCATAATTGTATATTTAGAAAACCCCATCGTCTCAGCCCCAAATCTCCTTAAGCTGATAAGCCACTTCAGCAAAGTCTCAGGATACAAAATCAATATGCAAAAATCAGATCAATATCATGAAAACGGCCATACTGCCCAAAATAATTTGTAGATTCAATGCTATCCCCATCAAGCTACTATTGACTTTCTTCACAGAATTGGAAAGAAACTACTTTAAATTTCATATGGAACCAAAAAAGAGCCCACACAGCCAAGATAATCCTAAGCAACAAATACAAAGCTGGACACATCATGCTACCTATCTTCAGATTACACTATAAGACTATAGTAACCAAAACAGCATGGTATTGTTACCAAAACAGATATATATATATCTCATGCCACACATCTGCAACCATCTGATCTTTGACAAACCTGGCAAAAACACAAAAACAAGCAATGGGGAAAGGATTCTCTATTTAATAAATGGTGTTGGGAAAACTGGCTAGCCATATGCAGAAAACTGAAACTGGATCTTTTCCTTACACCTTATACAAAAATTAACTCAATATGGATTAGAATCTTAAATGTAAGACCTAAAACCATAAAAACTCTAGAAGAAAACCTAGGCAATACCATTCAGGACATAGGCATGGGCAAAGACTTCATGACTAAAACACCAAAAGCAATGGCAACAAAAGTCAAAATTGACAAATGGGATCTAATTAAACTAAAGAGCTTCTGCACAGCAAAAGAAACTATCAACAAAATGAACACGCAACCTACAGAATGGGAGAAAATATTTGCAATATATCCATCTGACAAAAGGCTAATATTCAGAAACCTATGAAGAACTTAAACAAATTTATAAGAAAAAAAAATCCCATCAAAAAGTAGGCAACGGATATGAACAGACACTTCTCAAAAGAAGACATTTATGCAGCCAACAAACATATGAAAAATAGATCATCATCACTGGTCATGGGAGAAATGCAAATCAAAACCACAATGAGACACCATCTCACCCCAGTTAGAATTTTGATCATTAAAAAGTCAGGAAACAACAGATGCTGGAGAGGAGGTAGAGAAATAGGACCACTTTTACACTATTGATGGGAGTGTAAATTAGTTCAACCATTGTGGAAGACTGTGGTAATTCATCAAGAATCTACAACCAGAAATACCATTTGACCCAGCAATACCATTACTGAGAATATACCCAAAGGATTATAAATCATTCTACTATAAAGACGCATGTATACGTATGTTTATTGCACCACTGTTCGCAATAGCAAAGACTTGGAACCAAACCAAATACTCAGCAATGATAGACTAGATAAAGAAAATGTGGCATATACATACCATGGAATACTATGCAGCCTTTAAAAAGGATGAGTTCATGTCCTTTACAGGAACATGGATGAAACTAGAAACCATCATTCTCAGCACACTAACACAAGAACAGAAACCAAACACTGTATGTTATCACTCATAAGTGGGAGTTAAACAATGAGAACACATGGACACAGGGAGGGGAACATCACACACTGGGGCATGTTGTGGGGTGTGGAGGTAGGCAAGGGATAGCATTAGGAGAAATGCCTAATGTAGATGACAGTTTGATGGGTGCAGCAAACCAGCATGGCACGTGTACACCTATGTAACAAACCTGCACTTTCTGCATACGTATCTCAGAACTTAAAGTGTAATTAAAAAAAAAGAAAGGTCTGAGTCTGTTTTTTAAAAACTCTTGAGGTTTTATGAGTCTCATATTGTAAAGAGATTTGTTATTATTTGCGTAAACACTTGCCACTTTTTTTTTCTTTTGTGAGACAGAGTCTCACTCTGTTGCCCAGGCTGTAGTGCAATGGTGCAATTTCAGCTCACTGCAACCTCTGCCTCCTGGGTTCAAGCGATTCTCATGTCTTAGCCACCCAAGTAGGTGGGATTACAGGGGTATGTATGCCATCACACCTAGCTAATTTTTGTATTTTTAGTATGGATGGGGTTTCACCATGTTGGTCAGGCTGCTCTGGAACTCCTGACCTAAGTGAGCCGCCCACCTTGGCTTCCCAAAGTGCTGGGATTATAGGCGTGAGCCACCACACCTGGCCCTGCCACTGAAATTTGGATTTGCAAGTAGACTGCTTTATTTTGGTTGTACTTTATAAAAAATGGGTCGGCTTTAAAGAAACAGAAGAAAAAATAGAAAAAGAAAAAAATGGGTCAGCTTTGAGAGAAGAAACTTACTCATGACAAGATTATTCATGAAGGAAAGCTGGAAACTTAGAATAAAATTTGGAAGAAAAAAACGTGGGTTTTGGTGTGGTGGATGAAATGTGTAATCCCAGCACTTTTGGAGGCAGAGGAGGCAGTATTGCTTGGGACCAGGAGTTCAAGACCAGACAGACTGGACAACATGGTGAGACTTTGTCTCTAAGGAAAAAAAAAAAAAAAAGAAAGAAAGAAAGAAAGAAAAAGAAAGAAAAAAGAAAAAAATTCAGATAATTTTTAGAGTAGTTAAACTACTCTGTATGATACTATATTTGTGCAAACCCATAGAATGTACAACAGCAGGAGTGAACCCTAATGTATGCTATGGACTCTGGGTGATAATAATGTGTCAATCAATATAGGTTCATCAATTAAAAGAAATGTACCTCTCTGGTGGGAGATGTTTATGATAATGGGGACCAGGCATGTGTGGGGGCAGGGGGTAAACAGAAATATCTCTGTACTTGCACTGTGACCCTAAAACTGCTCTAAAAAATAGTCTATGAAAATGTAAAAACAAAAACAGAAAAGGAGGGCCGGGAGACATTCTGGAAGAGCGACTTTCCCAGCAGAGAAGGCCCAAGACCAGCAGTGGGATGAGGCTGAGGAGTGGCAATTTGGTGGCCTTGATGTAACTGTTCTGCCCAGAGGAGTTTGTCCAGAAACCTGGTGCCCTGTGGGGGCGAATACTGCAGAGGTGGAGCTGCCTCCTTCTTGTCCCGCTTTTTCTTCTCTGTCTCTAGGAGTGAAGAAATAAATTTATAATTTTCTACTACTTCTAAATACTTTAAAGTTTGGGATTAGTCACTGTTTTGCGGGTTGCCTAAGTTTAAAATAATAAAACAACCATCTGCCTGTTCTCTCAATTGGCTGAGGAATGGGCATTCACTTACATCTGGCCTTCATGTAATCATAGAGACACAATTCTTCCCCTTTTCTCACTTTCCCCAAATGGCAGGAGCAATCAACCATCATTTCTCACTTACAGCTCTTCATGTCGTTTTTTCATGCTTTTGAAGAATCCGTTTTCATCTCTTTTCCTATCAGCCTGCAGGTGATCTGGGGAATAAAGAATGGGATGAAATGATAAGAGTCCAGAGGGGTTGAGTGAAGGACTCCGTATCACACAGCAAGGCACTGATTTGAAATGCCTGGGAGAAGTGGGAGCTGCATTTATCTCTCATATTCTTAGCAGACGAGGAAGGTATGAAACCCTTGAAGATGCCTTTTCTGCTTTCCTGTGGTGGCTGCCTAGCCCGGCACTGTCCAGTATGAATATAATCTGAGTCACAAATGTGAGGTGCCTACATAATTTTAAATATTTCAGCAGTCACATTTAAAAAGTAGAAGGAAACTAGTAAAATTAATTTTATATATTTCATTTAACTCAATAGTCTCAAAATAATGTCATTTCAACATGTATTATAAAAATTATTGCTATATTTTTTTGTCTCTTTTTAGACTCAATCTTGTGAAATTAATGATTCTTCACATATAGCACGTTTGAATTTGGACTAGCTACCTTTCAAATGCCCGTCGGCCCGGGTGGCTAGCAGCTACCAAATTGGACAGTTCAGAGCTGGCCCCTTTCTCACTACCTGACGAAGGTAGGTGCTCGGGACAGAATGCTCTGAGGCTTCACTCTCTAGCTTCAGAAGAAGGCCTACTGTGGGAAAAGCCGCCCAGGAGCCAGGTGGCGTAAAAGGAGCACCCGACTCTCCTAAATCCTGGATGGCAGTCCTGCCTTCTTCCCCATGAAACAGGGCTTGAGAGGGGGAACCAAGACAGACCTCCTGAAAGGGGAGGCTGAGTGCCCTCATCTCCCAGTTCACCTCTACCAGAAACAGGGGTAGGGCATAAGAGACTCCTTTTGCAGGTAGAGGATGAGCCCAGAAGTTGGGGACAATGGCCCATTCCTGGCCTAGATTTCCTGTAGGGGTGCTGGACTGAGTGAAGTGCTATACGGCAGAGCCCCTAGATGGGGAGCTACTTCTGGCCCCAGCACCCTTCCTCCAGTGTCCTGCAGCCCCAAGAGGGCACAGGACAGCCTGGGGCTAGGTAGTGGAACAAGCATGGGCAGCTTCCCTGAGAGCCATCAGCCCAGTCATGAGGACTGCTTGGGCCAGACTTGGTGGCCCTCTTAGGAGGGATCTGCAAATCTAGAGCAGAGGAAACATTGCCAGGGAGCACTTCACGTACAAGGCCCTTTGGACACTTCGGGGCCCAGCCACGCCCATCTCCATCTATGGGCTCCAGACTCAGTCACCTTGAGCAGGAAGAACCAACCCTCATAATAAGAACTGTGGAGATCAGACCTATGGTATACACAGATTCCCTACCACCTTCTGTATTGGGCTTAAATAGGGCCAGGTGATCATTGTGCCTTCTTCTTTGGGGTAAAAATAAAATAAAAGAAGGAAATAGGGCCATGTGGGAGTTGGGGGACTCTGTGTGTGTGAGTTTGTGTCTGTAAAAGAGGGAGAGAAAAGGGAGATGCCCAGCAGACCACACTGATCTCCCCCACTCCAAACCAGATGGGAAAGGGCTGGTCCGCTTTATTGAAATCCCAAACTAGAACCAAACTATTCTCTACCTGAAGAGACTATAAAGGTACTGGATTGGTTGAGATCATGCCCAGCGGGATAGGAGGAGCTGGGCAAAGCAGAGCATTAGTGGACAGAAGAAAAACTCAGACCACAAAATTAAGAATCTGTTTATGTCTGCCAAGTGGGGATGCCTGGCTAAATGGGTGAAGATCTTGGGGCATTGCCCTGGTCCTCCTTTTCCAGAGTCCCAAGGGGAAGTGTTTGTATATGGAGGTCAGGTGTCGGGGCAGAGGAGAGAGCGTGGAACTCCTGGTGATAATTTCAGAACATTCCATCTAGCTGTCTTTATTCCAGGCTTAGACCAACACAGCCGTCAGAGTAAAGGGAGTCCTTACAAATACCAACCCTTCTTCCTAGTTGCAAACACAGACAGGTTTCTTAAAAATATCTGGCCGAACATCTAAAATCCAAGTCATCCACTACTGTTCTGCTGATTTCTGTCTCCCTGTAAGGCTGGAAGAGGGATTTCCGCAAAATGTCACTGATTTTAAATTTATTTTCTCTTCCTCTATAGTCAGGAGAAGACACCAGTGTGCACCAGAGAAGTAAAAGCCAGAGATCACAGTCCTTGCCTGAGGGCCACCTCTGGCCCACCAGACAACTCAGCACCAACTTCCCAACAGACACTGCTCTAGGCCAGGCATCCACATGTGGAACAGGTCCAGGCCCTCTTTACGGCTCTCACAGTGGTCAGGGAGGCAGATAAGTAACATATCTTGAAGACAGAATATAAGAAATGCCTGGGAGGAGACATACTGAGGCATGGAAAGTGCTCAGCCAGGAGCCTGGCATTAGAAGGGCCCAGGGATTATTGACATGTATGAGTCAGTTCTGTTTCAATGGAGTGAGCAGGGAGAGAATCTCCTAGAAGTAGATGAATGGAGGAAGTGCAGCCTCTTCCTTACCTTTTCATTGTTTCAGGCTCTCTGTGATGGAGTCGTATCTTGATTTTGCTTCACTGAGTTTTCTCTCCAGCTCCAAAGGAACAGGGGTTGGCTTGAGAAACTGAAATCCTTCACTCCTAGGAAGATGTGGCTGAGCTCAGTGGTGAGATCAGGGGATGAGGTCTGGGAGAAGGAGGATCTGAGATGTGGGGCTGAGAAATGAGGGGATGAAGACCTAGGGTAGGACCAGGAGCAGCAGCTCACGCCTGTAATCCCAGCACTTTGGGAGGCTGAGGCGGGTGGATCACTTGAGGTCAGGAGTTCGAGACTAGCTTGGCCAACATGGTAAAACCTCATCTCTACTAAAGATACAAAAATTATTCAGGCTTGGTGGCAAGTGCCTGTAGTCTCAGCTACTTGGGAGGTTGAGGCAGGAGAATCACTTGAACTCAAGAGACGGAGGTTGCAGTGAGCTGAGATTGTGCCACTGTACTCTAGCCTGGGCAACAAAAGAAAAACTCCGTCTAAAAAAAAACACAGACCTGGGGAGGGCCAGGGCTAGGGATATGAGGCAGGAATAAGGTAGGACATAGGGAGATATATGGAAATGAAGGTGAGAGATGGAGACAGAGAGGAGAGGAAAAAATGGGTTCAGGGAGACAGAGTAGGGGTCCCAGGAGCTATTCAGTTGAGCAAGGGGGCATTCAGGAAATAGGAGAATCTGTGTTGAAGAAGCAGGAAGCCTGAGAAAACAGTTGGTTTCTTTAACAACCAACCACCTGCTAATATGGTTGGCCTAGCCTTCCCCTGCTGCAGCCTAAATGTCTTTTGTTATCACTGGGTCTTTTTGAGGGGTCAGTGTAATCAGGGATTCCAGGAGCTTTGGCAGAGATGTCTCTGCTTCCGGAGATCACAGGATGGAGTTTTTCTTATCCTGAAGACACGGATGCTCTGTTCGCCTTGTGCCTTCGCTTGTACCGTCTCCTCCTTTTGCTGTAAGACTTCGGTCTGCGCTTGACTCTGCCCCTGCGGAGAGAGGGCCGTTCGCACAGGCTGTGCCTGGTGATTTCTGGGTCTCGTAAAGTCCTCCTGGTCTCTTAGGAGAGCACGTGACACTCTCCAAGTGAGTCCTTGTGTAATTATTAAGGACCCACCTTTCTCAAACTGGGGGAAAGGGGTTGCTGGGAAGGAAGAAATCTGGAGCCTAAGTGACCTAAACGAACAGAACATGTTTTTTTATGACTGAGACTATGGATGGTGCTTTGGGATTATCAAGGAACTCCTACCGACTTCCCTTCATCTGTCCTACCAACAACTTTAAGAGAGATGTTTTGTTTCTGCCATTTGAAAGGTGAGATACCTGAGGCTCAGAGAGGTAAAGTGATTCTTGCAGGTTGCACAGCAAACTCAGGAGACTTAACTTAAGCCCAAACCGTCCGAGTCAGATTTTCATATCCTTTCCATTCTGCCTTGAGCCTTGATTTAAACAGTCAGCAGTTCTGCAGACTCAGCTCTTCGAACCCACTGTGCCTGACTGCAAGCTGCCCACTCAAGCCCAAGGGGTGGGGGCAATGGGGTGCAAACCCACAGTGGGAAGGTGGCAGTTTCCAGGGCCTCACTGAATGCCTGGGCTGATAGGGGAGCAGGCAATAAAACCTCAAACGTCTACCTGATAATTCTGGGCAGCTTCATTGATCAAGCTGGCATTATGAGATTTGTGATCCTTGGATTCACGACACACAAAACAGAGGAACTTCCCATCATCCTTACAGAAATAATGGAACATCTCCTCGTGCCTCGGGCATGTAGGCATTTTCCTTTCGGACTGCACCTCAGAGGCACCTAGAGCTTGGATTTTCTCCACCAGATTCACCAACAGTCAGTTGGACATCATTGTATTCTTCCTTACAGAAGTTTTGCAGAGAGGACATTTGAAAAATTCGCATGATGCTTCCCCACTCTGAGTGATGCATTTGAGGCAGAAATTGTGCCCACAGTTGATGGTGACAGGTTTTTCCAGAACGTCCAGGCAGATGGGACAGATCACTTCCTCTTGCAGTTTGTTCACGAACTGCCCATGGGCCATGACAGAGCAGCAGGGCTGTTGCAAGACTGTAGGAAGCTGTGTCAAGTCTGTAGGAGCCCAGGAATCCACTGTGGACACCGCTTCTAGGAAGGGAGAAGGGAGTCAGAAAAGGTGGAGGTCAGAGATTCTGCCAATTAGTTAGAAGAGCAGGGAGAGAGGAAAAGAAGAGGGAGAAAAAAAAAACAAAAGAATGATAGAAAAGGGTAAAATTTAGATCTAGAAAACATTATAGAGAGGAAAACAGGTGGGCAATCCTACCTTGCTATCTCTTGAGAGCAAATGGATGTTTTGAATGTGTAATAGGCTGCTTATAAAGTGGGATAAGTTGTCCTGGACTTTGAACTAAAGATATGTTTGTATGGTGGCTAAGATCAGAATGATGGGGGCACCAAACACCACTCACAGGGGATTTTCATCAGCTCTGCGTAGGGAGTGGAGGGGTGGGTGGGGACGCCTGCCGAAAAGTCACAGCTAGTTCACCACAATGCTTTGGGCATCTTGTATGCAAAGTTCAAGCCTGGGTACAGCATCTGGAAAGGAAGAGAAGGGCAATTCTCTACCTTAGGTACTTTGGTTCCTCACAGAATTTTGTGAAAATGTGGAGGTTATCATCACCTGCCTTGGAGAATTTCCAGTCACAGGGCCAACCAACCACTGCCTAGTTCAGCGGGAGAGGCAAGGAGTTTCCTTTCTGAAAAGTCGTTCTTTGTTTTTGTACTTTGCTCTGGCCCCTGGTGATCTTCTGCCTCCCCACAGCACCTGCAACAGTCTGTCCTCCGTCAGTTTTTTCCCTGCGTGTCTCCAGTGCCCTGGTGTCTCCATGCCTGTTCTTTGCTTTGCCAGTTCTGTCTATATGTGCTTCTTCTTCCTTCTTGGTGCTTCTCTGGTCCCTGACTCGCCTTCCCCTATGGCTTCTGTTCTGACTAAGAATACATCAACCAGTGTCACATACATTCCCTTCTGTACATTCATGTCCTAACCTTCCCTCCTTGCCTCTTGTCTTAAGGAAAAAGATGCTTCCTCCCTACGTCTTCCCTTGGCCTAGCTTCCACCCTCCCTTCCTTCTCTCCATTATCAGCTGTCTGTCCCCAGCGAGGAGTACACCATTAATATTTATCTGATCTAATTTTAGGTCAAACAGGGCTTGTGGATGATTTTATAATAATAGCCAGAGTGATCATACATTCTGCTTTGCCTGGAGCCATCCTGGGTTTCACTTTGTCCTGGTGTAATTATTAATAGCACCTCCTTTCATTTTCAGAAATGTCCAGTTTGGACGATGAATTATGTGGTTCCCCTAATTATAGCAACTGCTGTAAACCAAGGACTTTCAGAAATGTTATACCTCCAGGCCTGTTTATTTGCTTTAGGGTTGAATTAAAACAACCTAACATCTGCAAATTGTTTTACTTATAGTCCTAAACTGCTGGCCCCGAGAGGCAGAATTTAACTTTTTACAGGTCTTGTTTGACTGGCGTGATGATTTAGAAAACAATGGTAATGTAAATGCCGGTAGGGAGGGTGGTTATGTTTTTCACCACTCTGCTACCTCACGTCTTTTTGGCCTGGAAGACAATTTGACATTATGACCCTGATTTATAGATTTATTTTGCTTATATTACCTCATTTAAGTCTTACCTGTAAGAAATTATCTTTATCCATTCTCAAACAAAGCAACTCAGTATTCTTCAGAATCACTTGGAAAACTTTTAAAATTCAGATTTGTGGAACTCCAGCAGAGGCTTTCTGTTTCAACAGGTCCTTGGTGGGGCCTGATGATTGACATCTGAAGCAAATTCCCTGGAGATGGTGATGCTGCTGATAGAGGCCCACACATTGATAACCCCTGGTTTAGAGACGCTACTAATTGTTCCAGCTAATAAATGACAGCTCTCAGACTTAATTCCAGGTTTCCTAGTCCATATTACATCTTCTTTATTCTTTCTTGTTTCAGCATTAACAAAAACAACGAGTAATCTTTAAAAATGATAAACAAATATTTTAAAAGATCATTAGTATTTCAATGAAGTTGGGCAAGCCAGCAGAAGGAATGAAAATACTCATATGAACACCATTGGAGAATTTCAAACAACTATCACCAAACAGGTACCGATGGCTTCATGAGGAAGGAAATTTAGAAATAAAGGAGAATCTATAGTGTTTCAAAGGTGCTTTACTCTCTCAAATTATTATTGTTATCCTGGGTTATCCATCCACTGGACTGAATGGATATATATTTTTTGAGACGGAGTTTTGCTTGTGTTGCACTGGCTGGAGTGCAGTGGTGAGATCTCGGCTCACTGCAACTTCTGCCTCCCAGGTTCAAGCAATTCTCCTGCCTCAGCCTCCCAGGTAACTGGGATTACAGGCACCTGCCACCACACCCAGCTAATATTTTGCATTTTTAGTATAGACGAGGTTTCACCACGTTGGCCAGGCTGGTCTTGAACTCCTGACCTCAGGTGACCCACCCGCCTCAGCCTCCCAAAATGCTGGGATTACAGGTGTGAGCCACTGCACCCAGCCCCTGAATGGATATCTTAAACTCTTAGTAGGCTCAGTAGTCTGAAACCAAATGCCTCCAATTTGCAAGGGCTGGGGTCTTGAGAGAGCTGGTATTGTGTTAGTTTCAAAGGACTTCCAAGTCAACTCTGAGGCATAGAGTTTATAAAAATTAGCTATAGAAGAGGAAGTGATGCAGAGCTCTCATACACGAGACAGCTATCACACACAAGAAAGCAGACAAGGAGCCACCCAGCCGTGGGTGCACAGATCTGGAGGGACATATGAAGACTAATGGGATGAGACACCTTATCAGAGCCCAGTGAAGGCTAGAGGCAGCTCACTTGTCAGACTAGACAGCCTCACAATGTTACAGAAGCCTCCCTGCATCAGGATTCCAGGTACAGAAGCTGCTCCTGCCTCGGGATTCACATTTCTGGGCCAATGTAAATAGGTAGAATGTCTATGGAGGTCAATATTGTGATATGTTTCAAAATTACAAATGCTTATCCCCTTTATCCTAGAAATTCTACCTCTAGGAATTTATTCTACAGATACTCACACACATAAATTTACTTTGGACTTCGTGGTAATGTTTGCATTAGCAAAATATTAGAAAACAATCCATATGTACATCAGTAAGGAAATATTTAAATAAATTATAGCCCACCTTTATAACTGAATAAAAATAAAAAAGAATCAAGGACTTCTTTATTTACAAGTGAAAGTATGCCCAAGATATGTTATTATGTGAAGAAATTAAAAAACAAATAATGTAGAACAATGCATGTACTATGCTACCATTTAGGTAGGAAAAAATACTTATTTTCTTGAATATGCATATAAGCTCTTTCTGGAAGGATGGGAATCTAATAACTAAAAATGGTTGCCTCTAAGGAGACGGACTGGCTAGCTGGGGAACAGGGGTGGAAGAGAGGCTTTTCTTTATACAATATATTACATTTTGTGAATTTTTAATTGTATAAATACATTGTTTTTTTAGTATTTTTTACATTATGTTTTTACAACATTAAATAATAAATCAAAAAATGGACAGAGAATGAAATGAAAATTTACAAAGCAATAAAACCAATTGACCAATAAATATATGAAAACAGTAATCTTGAAAATGCGTGCTGAACACATTGGCTCATGCCTATAATTCAGCACTTTGTGAGGCCAAGGCAAACAGATTTCTTGAGCCCAGGAGTTCAAGAGCAGCCTGGGCAACATGGCGAAACCTTGTTTCTACAAAAAATACAAAAGTTACCCAGGCATAGTGGCACACACATATATTTCCCAGCAACTTGGAAGGTTGATGCAGGAGGGTTGCTTGAGCCTGGAAGGTCAGGGCTGCAGTGAGCCGTGACTGTGCCAATACACTTTAGCCCCTTACTGCACTCCAGCCTGGATAACAAAGCAAGGCCTTGTCTCAAAAAAAAAAAAAAAAAAGAAAGAAAGAAAGAAAGAAAAAGAAATGCAAATTAAAATAAAAGAAAATATCATTTTATATCTTAAGTTTAAGTCTGGAATATCAAATATAGCCACAAATATGGAGAGATGGGGACTCCTATACCCTCCTGGTAAGAGTATAAATTACAGTGATGTAAAAATATTTAGTAGAATTTAAACGGTGTACTTTCATTTTAAGGTTATGTAATGATAATGTTGATGATGAAAATACTGCTACCTCTAAATAAAAGCTGACATTTCGTGAATGCTTACCATATGCCAGGCATAGTCTCAAGCCTTTTGCAAATTAGCTCATATATATAGGGAAGTATTATTATTCCCATTTTGAGGACCAGTCTACTGAGGTCAAGAGAGATTAAGTAATTTGCCCAAGCTCATTCAGTAAGTAAATAGTGGAAGGGGGACTTGAACCCAGAGAGCATCTAGAGCCTTCTTCTTTTTTTTTTTTTTTTTTGGACTCATCTTTTTAATGACATCCTAAAATTCAGAGGAGGGGCCAGTCGGGCCTCTAAGCTCAGCAGCTGTGAAAGAGGAGGGACCCGCAACAGGCGCTAAGGTAGGTCATTGCAAAAAGGCACTCGCAACGGGGACTTCAAGCCCTTTTTCTATTTCTTCACATAAAATCAGGGGGACGGGGAAAGCTCCACCGGTGAGGGAAGCAGAGGGAGTTTCTCTCCCAGCCTATGAAGTAAGGAAGAGGTGAGGAAGGAGCCAGTGCTGGGAGCGAGAAACTGCCAAGTCTGGGCCTGCCCTCATACAGACACGCAAAGCCTGCACCTTCCCTCCTAAAATCTGCAGCCGGGGCTGTAGGGAAGCCTCCTCTTCAAGCCCCCATCTCCTCTCCCTTCTAGCTGGTATGAAGTTGATAATCCCCACTCTGGGTGATGTAGCAAACCCAGGGCAGGGCCTGGTAACCGCTTTTCTCAATGATCTTCATGTGTCGGACCTGGATCCCGGGGACAGTGAAGTAAGGGATCTTAAACTTGACTCCAGTGGGGGGCCGGCCCTTCACCTCCTCCTTCTCCACGCTGGGGAGGCCAAAACGGGCTCACATCAAGTACTCCCTGCCTCCCGGAAAGACTTAATACTCCAAATCACGACGTTTTTCTCTGGCACATACTTGGCACTGCCCACACTGGTCTTGAATCTGGGGGAGTCAGCATCACTGGGCACAGGCACAGGTATCTCCACATTGTTGGCCACTGACTGTTTCTTAAACTGCCCCTTGGCCTTGACCATGATCTCCACATGGCTATGGGAGAACTTCTCAATGACAGACTCAATCCAGATCAGTGGCTTCACCTGGTGCTGAGGCGGTAGGACCTGAGCTCAAAGTCACCATCAGGCGGGATGAAGGAGATGGTGTGGTCATTGTCAAAGCGTGACAGCCGCACACACTGGTGGAATTTCACATCCTCTAGCTCTACTGATTTGTTCTTGCTGCCTGAAAGGCCAGTGAGCTCAAAGAGCACGCGGTCATTGAAGCCCAGCCGCAGCTCAGGCATTCCCAACAGAAACACCTTGAGCTTGATGGTACCAACGATCTCGCTCAGCAGGTTGACAGACTCTATGACATCGATGAAGACCTCGTTCTTCTTATACTTGATACCCTCAGAGCACCAGGACACAGCACTGGTGACAGTGGGTAGCACCGGTGACTTGCCTGTCTCCAGCTTGTTGCTCTGCTGAGTGATGTACTCCTACAGGATCTTGCTCTCAGTGGTCTGCAGGATGCCAAAGCCCATGAGCTCGTCCAGCAACTCATAGACAATGACAAAGTTGCCCCGGATGCTCTCCTCCTCCAGCTCCTTGAAGTAGTCACAGAATACCTCTATTGTCTTATACAGGAAAGAGTACACCAGGCAGGCATTGGTGTTCTTCAAAGTAGTGGCCACCAGGTAGAGGTTGTTGTGTTTGATCCATAGGAAGTGGGCTTCACCCACTTAGCAGTGGGGTCAGGGCACCCTCCTCCTCCCGCTGCACCAGCAGAGGCATGAAGTGCTCGATCTTGCTCATGGGCACATCGCCCTTGTAGTTGCGGCTGATCAGGGGCTTGCCCTTGACATCGAGAATGAAGACAGCCAAAGTGGACATGCTGGTGGCCAAGGGACCTAGGAGGTGGGGAGTCTAGAGGCTTCTTACACCCTGTATGATTCTGCCCCAATAGAGAAAATCTTGCACATGTGCACTCAGAGATGCATGTAACAGTGCTAAGTGTAGTATTGTTTATAAAAGCAAAATATTGAATAAACCCTATATCAGGGTTTTTCAACTACAGCATTATTGGCATTTTAGGCTGGATAATTCTTTGATGTTGGGTGAGCCTGTACACTGCAGGATGTTTACCAGCATCCCTGGCCTCTACCACTAGATTCCAGCAGCACTCCTATCCCCAAGTTATGACAAACAAAAATGTCTCCAAGCATGACCAAGTGTCCCTGGGGGACAAAACCTCTGGTTGAAAACCAGTGATCTATATGTAGTCATATGGCTCGGTCTCAAAACACTAATGAATATGTGATAATTTGTATACACTTAGAAACACACATTTCATGTAGTTTGCAGTTTATATATATATGATAGAAGTTTAAACACAGGGCCTGAAAGGATACACACCACATTTATGGTGGTGTTTGCTTCTGGGGAGAAAGAGAGAGAGGGATGGAACTAAATGGACAGAGAAAACCTCAAATCTATCTGTAATATTTAATTTTTTAAAATATGAAACAAAGCAAAATGTACATATTTGTTAATTCTAGGTTATGGTTACAAGAGTGCTTATTATATGATTTTCTATTATTTTCTGTGTTAAGGTTTTCAAAATAAAATATTTTAGTTAAAATAGGAAAACTGTAGAAAATGAACAGTGGATAGAGATAGAAATTTACAGGAATTCTAAATAAATTCTAAAATTAAGAAAAAGTTCAACTCCTTCCTTACTACTCAGGAAAATACAAATAATGAGATACAAATACAAAAATGAAATTAACTTTGTACTCATCAGATTAGCAAAATGTTTCAAAAATGTCCTGAGCTGATGAGGATGTGGAAAAATGGGATTCTTCACACATTGCTGGTAGGAGTGTGAATGGGCACCATCTTTCTTGAAAGCCTCAAGGCAAATGACTTGAAATACATTTGAAGGGTGACTAGAAAGAATGTTATAAGAAAAATAAAATGTACACAGGATTTCAGAAGAGTTTTTAAGGCTTCAAGATAAGTCAGGCACTGTGCGGTCAGAATGAAGTCAAGGGACAGCTTACACAGAGATACCCTATAACCAGTCTCCCGAGGAGAGCGCTAGATTTTACTCAGTTAAAAATGGCAATTAGAAACTAGAGGTAGTAAAAACAGTTCTCTTTTCTTTCTTTCTTTCTTTCTTTTTTTTTTTTTTTTTTACAGAGTTTTGCTTTGGTTGCCCAGGCTGCAGTGCAATGGCATGACCTTGGCTCACTGCAATCTCCACCTCCCAGGTTCAAGTGATCCTCCTGCCTCAGCCTCCCAAGTAGCTGGGATTACAGGCATGCGTCACCACGCCTGGCTAATTTTTGTATTTTTAGTAGAGATGGGGTTTCACCATGTTCATCAGGCTGGTGTCAAACTCCTGACCTCCAGTGATCAGCCCACCTCGGCTTCCTAAAGTGCTGGGATTACAGGCATGAGCCACCATGCGGCCATGAAAACAGTTCTGTTTAAAATACCAGAATGATTCCGTAGGTGTGGATCTGAAATTAAAACAAAAAGAAAAAACTACCAGAATGATTAAGATGTTTACTTTCTGTTTGCATGTATATGATCCCATTAAAAAATAAATTTTAAGTTTTGTATAGAGATCATATACATGCAAACAGAAAGCAAAAAAATAAAATAAAATAAAATAAAAAGGTGGGGCCATACAAATAAATGGAGCAACAAGGGTCAGTTTTTATATGGCAGTCAATACAACACTGGGCTAAATTGCTCAAAAGGATCAGCCGTGAGATTAAAAACCCCAACAAAATGTAAAGCTCCCTTCTTCCCTTAGAGAAACCCATTAAAAGATATAAGTATAAATCCAAAGATAGTTTAAGGTCTGTTGTGCCAACACAAATGGAAGAACCTTGTGGTCTCACTCCTCTCCCTCTGCCAGGAGAAGCTGCAGTCCTCCTAATACCGTGACTCTACCTTAGTTAGGTAGGAGCAGGGGCAGGGGGAAGAAGCTGAAAAGACCTGGCCTTCACTTGACTCAGTTTTCTAGATCGTTTAAATTATTGGATTGGCCGTGGAATGGCTAATTTCATGTGTCAACCTGTCTGGGCTGTGGAACCCGGGTATTTGCTATGGTTATGCTGCTTGAACAATAAATGACATCAGAGAAAAGTGATTGAGAGAAAAGTGGCAAGAAGAAATAAACATATGCTTGCATTTGAGGATCTAAACGCCCCTATCAGAACACATCAGACTACATAATATTCTTGTACCACAGAAGTACTGTGCCCAGAGCCTAAAACAGAGCCCTCTGTAACTCTCCACTCTGGGAGCCACATTTTAATCAAGGTACCCGCAAACTGGACTGCTTTGAGAGGAGGGCACTTGGATGACAAGCAGCTTTGAAATCCCATTTCAGGAGGCACGGAGGAGGATCAGTGGGCCCTGAGGGGCTCGCGGCCTTCCAGATGCTGGGAGGTTTGTGGTGGATGGCTGTCTCGCCATGATGTCAACTTCTATGCAGATTTCCGCGGGCTGAATTGTGTCCCTCTCACCCACTCCTCCAAACTTGTATGATGAAGCCTAACTCCAAAAACCTCAGAATGTGACTATATTTGGAAATAGGGCCTTTAAAAGATGATTAAGTTGTTGGTGAAAAGAGTTAAACTCTGTAAAATATTCAAAGAGATTTATTCTGAGCCAAATATGAGTGACCATGGCCCGTGACACAGACCTCAGGGGATCCCGAGAACATGTACCAGTGGTGGTTAGGGCACAGCCCAGTTTCATACGGTAGGGTCCAACCCTGCTAGGTTCGTGGGGTGTCCCCTATCACTGTGCTGACGCGCTGGATCCAAGAGATAAAGAGACAAGACACCAAAGGACTGGATAAGAGCAGCTGGGCTCGGAGGGCCAATATCACTTACAAGCGGAGACAGGCAAGGCCTCTGTATCCAGGTGCATCTGTATTTATTGGTATAGGTTGGGGGGAAGGGTAGTGAGTGAGGTCATCTTAAGGATAGTGATAGAGTCAAGACAATCACGTGAACAATAGGCAAAGGGCCCACCCCCATTAGGTCACTGAGGCAAGGAGGTGGGCTGTGTGCGACAAGGAGGGTGCAGTGTGCAATCTCTTACCTAGGGGCAAGTAACTTCTAAGGATTTCTACAGGAGGATGCTTTGAGTCAGCACAGTAGCAAGAGAGCTGACAGGGTTCGCAGCCACCAAGGTGCGATTATACCGGATGGGTTTTTTTTTTTTTTAATTGCATTTTAGGTTTTGGGGTACATGTGAAGAACATGCAAGATTGTTGCATAGGCACACACGTGGCAGTGTGATTTGCTGCCTTCCTCCCCATCACCTATATCTGACATTTCTCCCCATGCCATCCCCCCCGCCAACTCCCCACCCCCTGCTGTCCCTCCCCTATTTCCCTCCAACAGACCCCAGTGTGTAGTGCTCCCCTCCCTGTGTCCATGTGTTCTCATTGTTCAACACCTGCCTATGGGTTTTAAGCCCTCCAACGTTCACGGGATTGCCGGCCTGAGGCCAGCTTTCCACAAGAACTGGACGCAAGATACTACAACTCCCTTACAGGAGGAGTGACTCTTACTCCAAGCCTGCCATACAGCAGGTGTCTTTACGATACTGAACGCTGCCGCCTGGGCCGGCCTGCCATGTAGCACATGTCCTTTCAGGCAGGGGCACTGCTTGGGCCATAGATTCTTGTCCTGGTATGGCTGTTTTTCCCTAGTTCACGCTCTGCACCGTGTCTGCAGTTGACACTCCTCCGGCTACAAACTAAGATATAATTATATAAAAGGGTTATATATAAAAGAAAATAAATAAGCAGTTAAATATTCTTCAGGCACTAATTGTACCAGGGGTCAGCTTAGCTCTCCTTCCTCGGTACCCAGAAGGGGGGTTACACACACATACATTTTTGGGAGACATGAGACATCAATCAAATACATTTAAGATGTATGTCGGTTCAGTTCAGAAAGGCAGGACAATTCAAAGTAGGGGGTTTCCAGGCTGTAGGTAGATTTAAACATTTTCTGGTTGACAATTGGCTGAGTTTATCTAAAGGTCTGAGATCCATGGAAAGGAAATGTCTGGGTTGAGATAAAGGACTGTGGAGACCAAAGTTCTTTTTTTTTTTTTTTTTTTTAGAGACGATGTCTCGAGCTGTTACTAGAGTGCAATGGCACAATCTTGGCTCACTTCAACCTCTGGCTCCCTGGTTCAAGCAATTCTTCTGCCTCAGCCTCCTGAGTTGCTGGGATTACAGGCACACGCCACCATGCCCAGCTAATTTTTGTATTTTTAGTAGAGACAGGGTTCCATCATGGTGGTCAGGCTGGCCTCGAACTCCTGACTTCATGATCCGCCTGCCTCAGCCTCCCAAAGTGCTGGGATTAAGGCATGAGCTACTGTGTCTGGCCAGAGACCAAAGTTCTTAATGTGCAGAGGAAGCCTTCAGGTAGCAGGCTTCAGAGAGAATAGACTGTAAATGTTTTTTATTAGACTTACAAAGGGTGCCAGATTCTTAGTTGATTATGACCTGGATCTGGAAAAAGAGAAAAGGGATTCTCTATAGAATGCAGATTTTTGCCCCATAAGAGACAATTTTGCCGGGCAACTTACAGCATATGGAAATGAAATATATTTGGGGTTAAAATATTTTTGCTTCCTTCCTTTTTATGTGATGTTATACCAGAGCCAGTTTGGAAAGTAGGCCATGTTATGTAGGGTTTAATAAAATCCCTCTGATGAGACTTTATGGTTTGTAGGGCATGACTCCCCAAGCCCCTTAGGTAGAAATTTGGGCAAGAGAAGGAAAAATGTCAGAGTTTAGTCCTCAGTGTTAAAATAAGGCCATCAGAGTGGGCCTTTGTCTAGTCTGACTGGTGTCTTC